TGTCATCCCATCACTGCAAAGCATCACAAACTCTGTTTACAACTAGTTCAGTAACTAGTGACATGTTGTAGAGGAAACGATCACTGGTCTTTTTGAAAAATTTCAAAGACTATTATTATTGACCAATAATATTTTTAAGATGACTAATACCCTATAAAAATATAAAACAAATTCTGCAATATCAACCTAAATAAAGACTACATTGGCGAAGATCTTAAAAAACTGTTAATATCTATTACTAAAATTAGCAGTGAACTTAATCATATTGAAGCTTACCATTATTTGCTACTTTTATAAACATCAATTAAAATTTGTGTACTGTTCAAAATATCAACTTTCAATCTGTGGTGCAACTTTACTTTTCTTTGTTGTCTCACTGTAACATACTTCTTTATGTACTTTGCGTTGTCTTTTTACCGAAATGTGCTGTATAAAAAACTCTTGCCTTGCTTTACCTACAGAGGTAACTGTGTGATAGGTGGAGGACACCTTGGACAGGTTTAAAGTCCATCACAGAAGATGAATAAACAACCAGTTGACCTAACTAACATGCATGTTTTTGTTCTGTGGGAGGAATCAAAGCACATGGAGATACCCATGTATGAGGGGAACATGTGAACTCCACACAGAAAGGCCCCAGGACTGAAAACTTTATCCATTTACCTGCTGGGCTGCACCCCTAAACACAATTACTCAATATTTGAGCTAATATGACAATAAGAGGAATAAGTCAATAACTTAATAAGATGAATGCAAAAATTAACTCATCAGAGAGGAAAACTGTGATAAAAATACAAACAAACAAAACATAAAAACAAGACTTGAATTCAAAGGTATTGTGTAAATAAAACACAAGTGTGATGTGCCATCATTGTCGGACAAACTCACTGGAAACAAGAAGTTCTGTGTGAGCTTGAGTCTCTCCAGCAGAGCTGCGAGCGAAGCACTGGAAGATTCCTCCATCTCCTGGCTGCACCCGGCGCACCGTCAGCCCCGTGGCTGCGTTGACCTTGTAACGAGGGTTGGACAGCTTGGAGAGTGGCACCGCATTCCTATACCATTCAATCCTGGGCTGTGGCACGCCTACGTGTGTGCATGAAGATGAGAAACAAAGACAAAAAAAAACTTTTTTTAAAGTTCCCCTAATAACAAGCCAGCTGACCTCACTGCTGAGGCTCCAACTCCCACTAAAACAGCCACACACGCTCTTTTGTCGTCTTCTTTTTTCTCCCTTATCCAATCTCGCTTTATAAATATGCATGCGGGCATAATGAGTGTTAATAATATATTGATTGGAGGATGTGGGTGGTAGAGTAGGGGTGGCAGAAGGGGCCTGAAAACATTCTGAATAAAAGATGTGGATAAGTGCAGCGCACCGAGTATCTACAGTATCAGCAGCCACCTGTCTGACCGACATGCCAGATATGACAGGCAGGGAACTCATGCAATTACTCTGCCTGAACCCTTCACACCTGAGAGTGTGTGAGTGCGTGTGAGTGGCTGTTTGACTGAAAGAGATGGACTTCAGACTTTCTCAATCTGTTGGTGTCAAGCTTTCACAGACATGCGTGAAATATTTTTCACTCCCTCCTTGTCTTACTCACTCTGTCACTCTGTCTTTTCTCCTTCCCTCAGTCCTGCTCCTAGCCTCCATCTTTCTCTCCATACCCCCAGGCCTCAGCTATTTAATTACACTGCCACTGTATCAGATTACTGAAGAGAAACATGAACTCACTCAGTGCGTGTGTGTGTGTAGGTGTGTGTGTGTGTGTGTGAGTGAGAGAGAGAGAGAGAGAGAGAGAGAGAGAGAGAGAGAGAGAGAGAGAGAAGGTGAATGAGATCAGAGCCTGTTGTAGTTCTTACGACAGTGTCCAGCCCTCATTGTATGGAAGTGTTTTCAAAAAATTATGTAAAATTGTAATTTTCAAACCTGGTCATATCAGTATGCTCATTCTGCCACATGAGTGAACGAACCATGAATCCTTAAAATGAGACATCTCATGCTTTAAATCCTTTTTTTTTTTCACATTTAAATCATTCAGTTGGGGTCCATATAAAGTGGAACTGCAATTTTTGGTCTGAATTCCTCCTTATTGTAACTCCACGAGCCCCTCTTTCACCCCTTTTCTGAGATGTGTCTCAGATCAGCTTGTTTTGATGCTGTCTCTTTAAATGCAAACAAGGTGCTTCACTCCCCACCTCGCATTGTAGTTTGATAGAGGGGTTTACGATGGTATAGCAGAGAATTTTTTTATTTAGAAATTTATTAAAAGCAACAGACTTGTCCATCCAGCCTCACATGTTGGAGCTAGAGTCTGACCCAGAGTGAGAGGAAAATAAAAATGATGAAATTGTAGTTGATAAGTCCAGACCTTATTTAGAAGTTGTGTTGCAAAAACTGTGGCATAATAGTTCAGAAAAAGTATTGAAAACAGAGAAAAACTGAACGTTTTCGGAAATGTGATCCAAATAGAACATAAAGACACTATCTATGCAGCACTGGGAGTGACTAAATTCAAATTTTTTGCACTCATGTACAAAACAAAATGTATTTAGTGGCTAAATTGTAGATTTTTCTTGATACATACCCTTTAAGTTCAAACATATTTACTGTGTCTCTAACGAGGACAAACCCAAATGTGAGGTCACCTAAACACAACTAATAAGCTCCACATCTGCTACAAAAGGACCCACCATTTGAGATTTGTCATTATCATATGATTCATTATTTCTATGACCCATTTAGTAACAAACACAAGCAGTGTGTGGGCCTCTTTGTGCTTTGAACTACATACAACTTCTCCTCCCTTGACACTTTTCCAGAGCTGAAATTGCAAGAGAACTGAATTCAACAATTTAGTTACTTTTAGAAACTGACAAATACTGACAAAATTCAACTTGAGAAAAACATGATGGGAATGCACATAGTTGCAGATGTATTGGGTACATAAGTCATTTTCTATTGAGATTAATTGTATTTTGCTTGGGGGGGAGGAAGTATTGTGCAAAATGGACTTTTTTAAGGTTTATATCATGTTATAAAGTCATTCTCTCATCAAAATCACCCAGAGTGTTTTTTGACTCATTCATATACGTTTGAGAAATCCTTGAATTTCCCATGGAGACTTTTCTCCCATGAAAGGTTGTAAACGATATGAAGCATTGTTGTGAATCCGTGCTGAAGTGGGAGTGTCGGAAATAATAGGAGGTTCTTAAAGAGACAGAAGCCAATTGCAAGGCATTTAGATAGGCTATGATGCAAAGTCACATTTATTTTTGAAACTTACAGCATTGTCATAACAACTGAAGGTAACATATTTGATTGTGGTATAACCTTTGGGCAGAGCCTTCTCTGTTAGGAGTTGTAAGCTTTGGAACTCATTACCATCTGATTAAAGATCATAACTGACATTAAAATATTCACTTCAATGCTTAAGCATTGGCTTAAGATGAACCAGAATTGTACTCATTCTTAAATATTGTTCCGTAGTTTTGAATACATTGTTTTTTAACCTCTTTTTAAACATTTTATTGTATTTACTGTTGATCTTTACTTTTTATTTAAAGGACCTGTGACATCCAGATTCTTCAAATGCAAAAGGTTCAAGAAAACATCTTCATATTTAAAGAAACCTGGCATAAAAGACATGGCTTTACAGATTTTGTCACATACTGGTCTATTTTCTTTTGAACTTATCTCAGCCAAAGTGAAAYAGGAAGTGGCATCAAAAGAACTCKGTGGTCTTTGTTTATTGAAAGAATATTATTTGAACTTTGACTTTCATCTTTCTGATAGWGACAAAATAATCTAAAGAAACATCAGATTCTTCTCTACAGCCTGTGTTGTTMGCTGTTGTAGTAATGCTTTGTTTAAATGCAGACATTCCCCTTTGACATCACTTCCTGTTACTTCACATGCAAATATCTCAACAACTGTTCATCTCAACAGCATGAAATATTTTTTTGAAGTACTCAGTGTCATCTTTCCACAAACGAATTTGTAATTATTACAAAAATATGATGTCACAGGTACTTTAAACAAACTGTTAAAGGTCCTTCTAGCGATGGGTGCTGTGAAATAGATATGGCTGCATACACTGTGATGTAGCCATCAGATTGTATTGATCTTTGTCTCTTGTAT